CATCATCATGCTGTTCCTCATTGCGCACGAGCCCGACGCGGTGCTCAAGACACAGGTCCGCACGTTTGTGACTCGTCGGGCCAAGCAGATGCGGATTGGTGCGTGATGCTCTCGCTGCTTGTGTGCTGGATAAGCAGCGATCGTTGTGCGTCCCGACTGACGCCATGTCCATGTGTCTGATCAGGCGACAGCACGTCCAAGGCGCCGCTGGTTGAGAACACGTTTGGGTCGTTTTTGCATCTCATTGCGCACCACCCCGACTTTTCGTCCGAGTCGGAGGACCTCGAGATGGCCGAGGGGTGAGGCAGCGCACCTTGTTGCCAGTGCGTCAGGCTGCTTTTCGCAGAGGCTGACGTGCTCGAAACCTCTTGGCGCAGGTATATTCACTTTTTCTTTGAGACGGTCGCGACGGCCGAGAATGTGGCGATGCTGTACTCGGTGGCCGCCAAGGTCAAGACTCTCAAGGACAAGTACGCTGACGACTCGCAGGTGCGCGTGGGACTCTGGTGCCGCGAGTCGGATTTTGGGTGCGGACGCAGTTGCTGACTGGCGCCGGATCCAGAAACTCTACATTGCCGGCGAGCTTGCGCAGATTTTGATCCAGGACCGCGCGTCGTCCAACTCGTGGGTGCTGCAGTCATGGCAGGGCCCGCTTCCGATCTCGAGCAGCATCTTTGAGCACCTGCCTTCGCAGGAAGCTTCTGCTGTGCGTGGTGCTGCTCTCCGCGGTGTTTGTGGCTCGGATCGCGCTGACCAGACGCCCCGCGTGCAGAACCTCAAGCACCAGTACCTGCGTCCCGAGTTCATGGGCGAGCGTGCACAGCGCACCCGGGTGCGACTAGGCGGGGCACCGTGGTTTGGGATTGTGGTGGGACGCTGACGCTGGCTGCTGCGCAGACGCCCATGAAAAAGTCGACTGCGGACGTCTCTGCGCGCTTGGCGTCGGCACCGTCGCCCGCATCGACGCCGTCGCGGCGGCCTGACTCGCGGCAGTCGGCGTCGGCATCGGCGTCGGCGCGCAAGCGGCGCGCACTTCTCGATTACGACGCGTCCGACAGCGACGGCGCGTCGAGCGACGGATCGTACGGCGGCGGCCGGCGGCAGCCGCGCAAGCGCAAGCTGTCTCCCACGCCAAGCGGCGCGCGCACGCCGCGCAGCGACCGCGACGAGAGCGCCGATGGCCAGGGCGAGGAGCGGCTGCGGCGGTCGGCTCGCAAGCCCGTCACGGCGTCGATGAAAGAACTCAGCAGCAGCGAGAGCGATGCCGAGAGCGACGCCGACGACGCATCCAACTCGGAGCAAGAGAACGTCGAAGCGGTCGCGCGCACAGTCCGGCGGTCTCGCGCCGCCCGCGCGCCGAGCCCCGACGGCCTGCGTCTCGGCACGGCGCAGTCGGCCTCCAAGGCCAAGCGCGATGTGGCCGCGAAGCCGCGGCGCGGAGCAGCTCTCAAAAGGAGTTCTGCTGCCAGCGACACGGTCTCTGACGACGAGGGCGATGCCTTGGTCGCCTCGACGCCGAGCAAGCCGCAGCAGCAGCCGGCATCTCGCCGCCCGGCCCGCGCTGCCGCACGCAAGTGATGCCAGCACAGCAAATCTGTTTTGATTCATGTTGGCTGTTTTCCTCTCCAACGGTTCAGCCTGTTTTGGGGGCGGCAAGGCCTTGCATCGTGTCGCCGGTCGCTCCAGAATCCAACCCTCGCACAAAGACGAATGAAGAATCTGAATCCAGAATGCCTATTGGCCGTCATGGCCCGCCAGGATCGCTAATAGAGATTCTGGAATCACACAGAGGATGTGTGAGCCGGCGAAAGCCGTGATGACCAGCAAACATACATGCGGGACGGAGACCCCCGTCTCCAAGCATTCTCGCACCGTCTTCTTCATAATGCGCAAAAAGTCTTCCTCGTTGATCTCGCCGTCGCCGTCGCGGTCCGCCTCGTCAATCATCTCCTGCAGCTCCTCGTCCGTGAGGTTCTCGCCGAGCTCTTTTGCGACGCGCTTGAGGTTCTTGAACGAGATCTTGCCCGTCTCGTCGTCGTCAAAGAGCTTAAATGCCTTGAGGATCTCTTCCCGCGAGTCCTTTTCGGCCTGCCAAGTTCATTGGGTGCAGAGCAAGCGAGAATAATGAGCAGCCAGCAGGGGTTTCGTCGTGAGGGCGTGCGCGCGCGTGCGTGCGTGTGAGCGCTCAGCGATGGGATTGCGTTCTGTGCGGCTGCGGCTTACCATCTTGGCGGTCATGAGCTCGAGGAACTCGTTGAAGTCGATGGTGCCGGTGCCGCTCTTGTCAATGTCGCTCATCATCTTCTTGACCTCCTCCTTTTTGGGCTCGAATCCGAGCGCACGCATGGCGACCTTGAGCTCCTTGATGTCGATGGTGCTGGCGTGGCGTTGGATTTGCCGTGCGTCGATGGTGCGGGGTGTCGGGGCGAGCGGGAGAGGACGCGGACAAGGGCCGCGGTCGGAGAATGAGCGTCAGATCGAGCACGGCTGCGCTCTCGCTCGCAGAAGCCGCGGCCTCTCCGCGCCTGCGCGTGGCACGTGCTCCCGAGGATGCAGGAGCGAGAGCCGGTGCGCTGCGCTGGGAGGACCGTTGGGGAGGGCGGGCCGACGCACCCGCTGCCGTCTGTGTCAAAGAGGTCGAATGCCTCGCGGATTTCCTGCTTCTGCTCTGGCGACAGCTCGTGCTGTTTGTGTTGCGGACGCTTGCTCGAGCTGCCCGCGCCGCCGGGGCCTCCCGCGGCCTTGCCGCCCGCGCCTGGCTTGCGTGCGTTTGTTGACTGCGCACGCCGCGCGGCCCGCGTGGCCGAGCGTCAGCAGCCGCCGCCCCAGATGCCTGCGCCCTCCTCGTGCCACCGCGCATGTCCGACCGACCATCATTTTGCAGGTCGTGGGCAAAGACCAGCGGAGCCGTGTGTCGGCGGTTTCATTGGAACAGCATGGATGGCGATGCGGCACGTTGGGCGCAGCCGGGCAGCAGGCTTGAGAGGCCTCACGCATGCGAGATGCCGCGCAGCTCCTGCGAGGGATCGCGCTCCATCAGGTCGCGCATGGCCTGCCGCACGGGCTTGTTCTCGAACAGCACGGCATAGACCTGGTCGGTGATGGGCGAGTCGACGTTGAGCTTGCGCGCAAGCTCGTATGCGGCCTTTGTCGTAGCCACACCCTCGGCGACGGATCCCAGCGACGCGGTGATCTCCTCAAGCGTCTCGCCCTTGCCAATGCGGTATCCAACCGTGAAGTTTCGCGACTTTTCCGACGTGCACGTCAGCATCAGGTCGCCGACGCCGCTCTGCAGTCGTCGTGCGCAAGCGAGCGGCGAAGACTGGAGTTAGCTCATGCATGCTGGTTGCAGAGCATCGGGCGCGGCACTTGCCAGGCCGGCGAACGTGAGTGGGTTGGCTCCGAGCGCGAGGCCAAAGCGGATGATCTCGGCGAGGCCGCGCGTGATGAGGGCCGCACGCGAGTTCATCTGGAAGCCGACTCCCATGCACGCGCCGGACGCAACCGCGATGACGTTCTTGAGCGCGCCGGCGACTTCGACGCCGACTGTGTCATGGATCTCGTACACGCGGAAGTGCGGGGCATGGAACAGGCGCTGGGTGCGCTTGGACCGCAGCGGCGACTTGCTGGCAACAGACACGGCCGTCTGTAGAGAGGGCGCCGGTGCCAGATTGCGCGGGCATCAGCCTGCAGCGTGGGCAATACATTGCGGGAGGGCCGATATTCGCTCACCGGCTGCCGGCGGACGATCTCGGCGGCGAAGCTCGGGCCGGACAGGAACGCTGCGCGCTCGCCGATTTCGGTACCGCAGACCTCGAGCGCAACGTCGTTTGGCAAGAGGCCCGTCGAGATTTCGATGCCCTTGTTCACAAAGATGAGCAGATGCCTGCTCGTCAGGGCGCCGCGGATCTGTCCCAGGACCGAGCTGCTCGATCGAGGTCAACAACGGCGCATCGTCGGCAGCAGGCCGAGACACGGTTGGCTCACCGCATGTGCTGAGTCGGGATCGAGACAATGATCACGGTGGCGCTGCTCACGACCTCGTGCGAGAGGTCTGCCGTCGCCTTGAGCCGCTCGGCGAGCCTGACGCCCGGGATGTACTTGTGGTTGATGTGGTCGTTGTTGATGCCTTCAACAAGCTTGGAGTCGCGGGCCCAGATGGTCACGTCGTTGCCGAGGTCTGCACGGACTCGGGCAGGACGCAGGTGCGCCGCAGCCGGGCAGCCCCAGGGGCAGGAGCGTGGCGGCCAGCGTCAGCTGTGCCAGCCACAACACCTGGCAGCGCCTCCGCTCGGGTGCACAGCAGCGACAGCTCACCGGCGAGGTGGTCGGCCAGACACGTGCCAAAGTTGCCGCCGCCGAGGACAAGCACGCGCTCGGGGCCGCCGTCGGAGCCGTCGTCGGCGTCGATGGTCGTCGTTGGAGAGTCCTGGCGCGAGAAGGCGGTGCCCATGGCGGTGGGGGTCGGCGAGCGTGGGGCTTGCGGCGAGCGGGGGCTGCGCCAAGCACGGTCTCGTGGTGCGCCAGGCTCAGGACGTCCTGAGGAGAAGGGCGCGGCCCCACCTCGAGAAGGGGGCCAGGCCAGGGGCCGGGTGGTGCGCGAGGCCGCGGACAGGCTGCTGCAGCGCCGGAGCGGCGTCTGGGCGTGCAGCGCAGAGTTGCGGGCGGCCAGGCCTGCGCGCGTCGCGGCGGAGTGCGTGCCCAGCACACGGTGCATGAAGCGGAGCAGGTCAAATTGAAGAAGGCCGCCTCTGGTCTTGCCACCAGTCGCTCAAGGATCAACCGAGGCATATTTTGCGATGCCCGCATCCGATCTCAGCAGTTTCTGCTGGGAATAAGACGTATCAAAATGTTTTATATGATATGGAGTGCGTTTAAAAGACCAGCAGCAGCGCCAGGCGTCGCCGCCCATCGCACAATCGCACATTTCGTATCGCCGTCGCCTGTTTGTGCGCCGCAGGATTGTATCTGCGGTCCGGGCCGAAAAATCGTGAGCGCGAGGGGTTGTAGCGCAGTGGTAGCGCGTCTGCTTCGCATGCAGAAGGCCTTGGGTTCGATCTCCAACTGCTCCAGCGCTCTCTTTTCCTCCGCGGACGATCGCCCGTCCAACACGCAAGTCGTCGCTGTCTTTTGGACCGCCCGCAAAGCCCGCACTGCCCGGCTCGGCGCGCCGAATTTCGCCCTGGTCTGGTCCAGAGGCTCTGCGCGCCTGCACCGTCGCTTCGTGGGACTGACCTGGTTCCCGGACGACTGGGCGG